CATGACCGCTTGTCTGCTGGTACGAGACAAGTGAAAATCTTAGTTTTCTATGGATGTAGCGGTTGCCTTACACTGCTTCAATAAAGATGACATGTTGACTAGCTCTGTTATTCCGACACGGCATCAATAATCTTAATACGCAATACAGCTATGGCTTATCAGCTCTTAGCGGTGGATTAACTAAAATACCCTCTTTGGACCTATAATTGAAACGCGTTTGTAAATTTCAAATTCATGTGATGATATGCCCTGGTCGGATGTTTCGAAGTTCGGATAACTCGATATTTGTTCCATAAATATCGAGACAACAGTGCTCGACTGTATATTGAAATCTATATCTGCATTTTATCATAAGTATAAACATAGATGTTATATATCTTATACCCAGTTATATTTTTGGTTCTTTTTTAATTACTGGTATTTTCCCAAATAATTCTCGAAGAAGATATGATTTCGCATTGGTCACGTGATACCATGTATCTGTTTCGTTATGTCTCAGTAAATGCGTGGTATTCGAGTTATATTTTATTTATATATGCACATTTTACGAATTGGATAGTGGTGAATCACTGTTTTTATTAACACGGTATGATAAAGGTCAAAAGAGGTCATTATTTGACTGCGCGAGCATGATAACGCAACATGATTACGTAACCTCATTATATAGAGTGTGTGTGTCACCAACACCTCGCACAGCAGTCCGACGTTTGAATATTTTCTTTTGACATTTTACTTGTAAACTTCTATTTTTATGGGTTTTTCGACCACGCAAAAAGCGCTCAAGACGCTCTTCCAAAGAACCAGACGTGTGAATGTTTGGTTCCAGAAATCTACTATCTCCATGGACGCATCTGATCCTTCTGTTGAATTAGTTAACGAGGAAAAAGCTATTATTATCGGATCAGTGGTTTTGTATTCATCTCTGCGCTCCGTGCTCAGGCTGTAAAGCCACAGCACGGAACACCTCATCGTGAAACTGTGTAGCTCTGACAACCAGGACGAAGGTTGTTATTGACACAGCAAACCGATGTACTGTGTCAGCGTTGATTCAGCGTGTGTCATACCTGTTGTACATTGCACCTTGATTACAGGTAAACAGACAAGAGTCCCCAAAATTCAAACACTGAACGCGGAGGTATTGGTTGAATCACTAATGAAATGGTTTGAGCCAAGCAAAAATCTCGTTTGATGGTTCTTAGAGGGATTAGGTGACGTTCTACTCTCCCTTTTTGTTTTCCGAAACAAAGGCTCTAGTAATTGAGTAGTCAGGTGTCTGACGTAGGTTCGGGTCTCTTGATCTCGTCGCCATTTTCCGGGTCAAGTTATAAATGTGATGAAGATGGCTGAAACACTGATAATGATAACTGTACTGCTGGTAGTGTAATGTTTGTTATGGTAATTATGAAGATGGTTGAAACACTGATAATGATAACTGTACTGCTGGTAGTGTAATGTTTGTTATGGTAATTATGAAGATGGTTGAAACACTGATAATGATAACTGTACTGCTGGTAGTGTAATGTTTGGTATGGTAATTATGCAGATGGCTGAAACACTGATAATGATAACTGTACTGCTGGTAGTGTAATGTTTGGTATGGTAATTATGCAGATGGCTGAAACACTGATAATGATAACTGTACTGCTGGTAGTGTAATGTTTGGTATGGTAATTATGCAGATGGCTGAAACACTGATAATGATAACTGTACTGCTGGTAGTGTAATGTTTGTTATGGTAATTATGCAGATGGTTGAAACACTGATAATGATAACTGTACTGCTGGTAGTGTAATGTTTGTTATGGTAATTATGCAGATGGTTGAAACACTGATAATGATAACTGTACTGCTGGTAGTGTAATGTTTGGTATGGTAATTATGCAAATGGCTGAAACACTGATAATGATAACTGTACTGCTGGTAGTGTAATGTTTGTTATGGTAATTATGCAGATGGTTGAAACACTGGTAATGATAACTGTACTGCTGGTAGTGTAATGTTTGTTATGGTAATTATGCAGATGGTTGAAACACTGGTTATGATAACTGTACTGCTTGTAGTATAATGTTTGTTATGGTAATTATGCAGATGGTTGAAACACTGATAATGATAACTGTACTGCTGGTAGTGTAATGTTTGTTATGGTAATTATGCAGATGGCTGAAACACTGATAATGATAACTGTACTGCTGGTAGTGTAATGTTTGTGTAATAATGCAGATGGTTGAAACACTGATAATGATAACTGTACTGCTGGTAGTGTAATGTTTGTTATGGTAATTATGCAGATGGCTGAAACACTGATAATGATAACTGTACTGCTGGTAGTGTAATGTTTGTTATGGTAATTATGCAGATGGCTGAAACACTGATAATGATAACTGTACTGCTTGTAGTATAATGTTTGTTATGGTAATTATGCAGATGGTTGAAACACTGATAATGATAACTGTACTGCTGGTAGTGTAATGTTTGTTATGGTAATTATGCAGATGGCTGAAACACTGATAATAATAACTGTATTGCTGGTAATGTAATGTTTGTTATGGTAATTATGCAGATGGCTGAAACACTGATAATGATAACTGTACTGCTGGTAGTGTAATGTTTGTTATGGTAATTATGAAGATTTATCAATGTCTACAGTATTAAACTGATAACAATGATAACCAACATGATATAACTTAACAACTTTGATGATAATGAAAATGGTTGCTGCGATCCCAAAAGACGGAGCGGTGGGGTAGCCCAGCGGTTGAAGCCTTCGCTTCTTACACCCAAGTTCGAACCACGTACAAAATCTGACGCCTATCTCTAGGGTCTCCCGTCGTGATATTGATGGAATATTACGAGCGCGGCGCCAAACAACACTAACTCCGAAATGACGATGTAAAGAACATTAACCCTACCGAGTGGCGTTAATTAACCACCTCGAGATAATTAACAGAATTCCTTAGAGTTCTGCATCATTGGTAGAAAGTATGGGAGCCATACCAGCCGCATCCCTTCTCCTCACCCCCGTGCTGAAACCCTTCACCCTTACAGTCTTGATAAGTATAACATGTGATTTATCTATCAAGGTCCACGAAGAAGCAAAGGTCGAGAGCAGCAGGCAGCCTCGCATGTCAGCCTATCTGGAATTCTGTCATCAAAGAATTCCAAACTTTTGGTCCTGTTTCGACCCTGTGTTCCTATCCAAATCGTCCTTCGACGGAAAGAAAATATCTTTCAAGCTTTCAAATAAACAAAACAGTTGAACAAATAAATATCAACATTCTTTTCATATTTTATATACGCCTTTTCGACCTCTGAACCGTTCGAGGTCAAATGTTTGGTATACTAATATTTTCTTTCAAAACAGGCATACAGTAAGGCATAGCGAGTTGATTTCAATTAAAGAGAAACTTTCATGTTTCTTATATTGCGGTGTACGTTGATCTGCACCAGTCTAGACATACATACGAAGATGAATATCTTTATGTAACTCGATGAATGTTTGACAAGCATAAGGTATATGTTTGTATTGACTTTTCCCAAGCACATCATTTTGGCCGACTTTTTGTACCCGTGATTTCTTAAGGGAGATGTGTGCACATGGTTCTTAACACCTTCCCATTACACTGTAAAGTTTGTTATCGATTGGATAAACAGTTTGAGCCCTCTGAGATGGCTCGAATCGTGCCCTAGGATTTACATTGGGGTAAAAACCATAATTCTTTGTAGGAATTCACTCTCGATGAGCTTAATCGCTAAGATTTATCAACTTATTCCACACACTTGAGTCCATAAACGTGATATACCATAAATGTGGTTTTCTTGCACGGTAGACGGGATATTGACATAATTGTTTAGGAATCGTGAAAGTTTGTTGTGTTTTTTTTCTCAAGAAACAGTGAGTTTGATTATTATACAGATGCACAGAAATGCACTGAGGGAGGTTTAGATGAAAATAGACGACCTTTGAAACTTGCCCTGTTGACAAAGGAAGTTAAGGTCAGAGCAGTCTGGTGCAGGGGCAGCGTTATTTAGAGACCGGACACGCGGTCCAGGGTTAGGTCACAACGTGTTTGACCACCGAGGGATTTATGAATGACCGTCGTCGCTGAAACACTTAAAATACCCTTGTTTCGTTCCCACAAACCACAAAGCAAATTGTGAATGATCCTGGGTCCCGACGAGCGACTCTGGACTTCCGATCCTGGTACACTGCGATTCATATGGCTACATCACTTAAGTGCAAATCTCACGAAATCACGTCCACCTGTCTCGGAGTTTACCAGCAGTACTTAACACGCGGGTGATAATCTACTTCACATCGACGGGAAATCGGAATGTGGTTGGAAACATCTGATTAGCTACTGTGCACATGGGGTCAGACACGGAGTCCTCGTTCATGGTTCCGTTGTCAAAGGAGAGGATGGGTTGACGTGTTACACTGTTCAAATGACACGGCTATGCTTGGCATTAACAACTTGTGATTTCATTCACTAGAAACCGCCCCATTAGCTGATTTGGAATAAGGGACTTGAAACTGAGTCTAAAATGTTGCCGTTGCAACGTCGAATTTCACGTCTATTACTTCAAGTTAGAGAAACCCGCTGTCAAAAAGTCACCGAAGACGGGTTGATTTGAAAAGTTGCTGATGCATTCATGTTCAAAAGATATTTGTCATACTTTATTAGAGTTGAATTTCTATTTTCATGTACCGTTAATTATTTGTCATAAAACGCTATCGCGGTTTGATTACTATTAAGGAAAAACAAAACGTCAGTAGAACGACAGGAAAAGTACACCGATTATCATCATGTGACGTTAAAGCACCAAAACATATACTGTGATATGTTATATTTAAGTTCCGAATTGTTCATTAATACATTGTCTTTCTATCGAGTTCAGAGATTGTTCATGAAAACTGGCACTGAGTAACTTCAAATTGCAGACTCAGCAAAACCCTCACACGTGAGATTGTATATGTAAATGACTTTTTTTTTTCAATTTTAGGTGTGCTATGGAGAACCGCGGAAGGGTGTCTAAAGTCCACGTGGATGAGAGTGAACCAACAGGAGGTACGTTATTATAGAAACGAGGCTTTAGTAATGGAAAGAAAGAAACTAAGAGAACGAATGTGAAGAAATGTACCAGAAATGAAGCACACACATTTCAAGAACACAAAGCGAGAATTACGGAATAGCCATTTATCTTCAAAGAAACGGTTTCTGATCGTTTGGAGGTTAATCTCTCAATGCATGTAGGCTAGTTTGTGTACGGACGTACGCCACACACGTACATATATCACGAACTGGGCAGTTTATGTGACCAGCTCCTCGTTTGTCTTGTCAAACAGTTTGAAATTTACATGTTGACCTGACAGAGAAACAGCCAAGGTTTCGTCCCTTTTGTTAATTGGCCACGGCGCCAACGCTCGACCTTCGCAAATCTTCCAAACGCATACAGTGAGTCGGAGAGGTCCATTATTTATTTTGTTTTCGCCCACACCGTTTACCTATAATCGATCATCAGTTGAAATTCCAAATAGCGAAACTCTGATGTTTGTGGGAATTTGCAGGAGTGGTGACGTCAGAGCGCGAGATGGCTGCTTATATGGACAGGTAATCTGTCATAATGGACAGGCTGCCCTTGTCTCACGTGCTGTGTGCGCTCGACGTCATCAGCGTTGTTGTTTACTCTCGAAATCAGCATGGTCAAGGCTTCTGTAAAGACCATTTCTGCTTTCTTAGGCCTTTGGTCAAATGTTAACAGTGTATACGAACACGAATTGTTCTCGAGAAGAACAAACTGTATTTCTCTTCCAACCAAATACAACAACCGTGAAGGCTATGGCAAATACGTGAGATGAGCAGGTCGAATTGTTGTTAATTGTTGTTGATTGCTGTTCAAATAGCCAAACAAATACACGAAAGTGGTGGTATTTTCTAATCTGCCACTGTCACGATAAACGCTTATAACCGCCGACTGTTCTTCAAGGTGGCAATGACCATGAACTTTCAGTGGGGTTTGCCAAGCAAACACGATCGTCTTCTGAGCAAGAGTTCGGATCATCTCAAGAAATTAGACCAAGGGTTCTAATCAAATTCTAAAGCTGCATATAAGCATGGCAATTTGAAACGTTCTGGCGTAAATCTCATGTTGTTTGTGATATCATTGATAAACGGGAAAATAGTTATTTTTAAAACGTTATTTGACGTCACTCTGTTTACGTTATTCAATAAAGGTGAACAAAATCCAACCGAAAGACGTTGTGGACTCAAACATTTATAACGCTTTGAAACTGAGAATGCGACATTTGAAGTTTATGATGCGTCTTTGAATGTCGGCTTCTCATGCCAATAAAAGTGAAAATGTGTAACAAATAAAAGTAATCAATAAAGGCGAACCTTTTTATGACGTCGTTATGGCTCCACTGATCAATCAAGACGTTTGAGAAGACGAATTTTAATGCCTTTAGTCTGTTGACTGTGAATGAGTCAGGGGTATGGACAAAACATGACGGTGCTGTCTCTTTTTCAGGTGATGAATTTCCGTTTGAGGTGAAAGAAGTTCAAATTAGAAAAGACAAATGGGTCACAGATGAATATCATATCGACATGCTGTTAGGAAAGTAAGTATAGTTTATATAACATCCTGTTAAAAATTAATAAATATTACCCATTAAGGTAGATTGATCGAGTGGAAAAACTGTCCGATGCTTGCCCATGTGAATTATTTCAATGTTCAACGAAGAATTACGGATTCTGGTCCCTCGCCATTTTGTGATGTAAGTTTCTCGTCGAAGGTCCTTTCACTGAGGGCAAATTATCCAGAATTTCTCGTAGCTTGTAAGCTTTTCCCTACCTATCGGTGTATGATGTAACATATACTCAGTAAGCGAAAGAAGGTCCACACGAACACTAAATAGCTTGTATTTCAATGTTTATGGTTGCTACAACAACAGCGATATGGGCGCTAATGGGGCAAACACGTCTTACCACTGGGGAGGTATATGTTTTCCTTAAAGTATAAACGCGGAACATAATACCATGCTGTGTTTGAATTTTGAGGAGTACTTTTCAATTTGAACAAGACTAGTTGCCAGACTGATTGTCTGGTCGAGATTTGCCTACTGGAGTCTTGGTATCCAGCGTTTTATTTATCCCGTTTTATTAAAACACACAGGCCATTCATCCTTGGCTTCTCATATCAGCAGGCAGGTCAGCGGTGAAGCTGAAAATTTCAGAATGTATGATAAGCGATCAGAATGGCGAGAAAAATGAAAACATGGCGCCAGGGTCTGACCCGCCGAAACACTGAGATCATTCACCAGCTGGTCATGTGACCGGAAGTACTACCATCTTGCGTTGTGAACAAATTACTGGTCTGATGGTTATCAGATACATCTTTGGACTATTAGAAGGGCTCTTGGAGACTTGGATCTGTCTTTTGGCATCTGTGAACAAATATGCGCTTCTTTTAACTGCCATAGGTGTTTAGACGGGGCTGAAAATAGTCGCAATTGAAAGAAATCTTTGAAAAGTGTTTATATTTATGGATGTGAAGTGTGAAGTGTAACGATATTTAGCAATTTGTAAAAGGTCGGAATTAGTTTATTCTTGGTATTTTATATTTATAATCATACCACTGTGTCTGATCCCTTCTTGGGATGTTTGTGTCTGAGGAAAGAGATAGTGCGTATATATTAGTTCCGTTTTAAGGGCTTTCCAGGGTGTGAAAGCCATTTGCCTTAATATTGTAGTGGCAATATATTTGAAACCACTCAATCAAGAAAAATCCCTAACTTATGCAAATTAGAAACCATATCCCTCATTCTGATCCAAAAATATGAGACGTTTATTCAAGGAATTTCTGAAGTGAGTCAAGATTTCTCTAGTTTTAAAAATTATCTTGGCTTGTTTGTATTATAAAGAAGCGGAGTTGAGAAGGAAAACATTTTTGGGGAGTAAATATTGTTTTCACAATGACTAAGGGCGACACTGTAATTACAGGGGCAAGTTTGGCGAGGTGAAAAAATGTCGCGAGAAGCGTTCAGGTCGGATGCTGGCGGCGAAGTTTATCGACATCACCTGCGCATCAGACAGGAAGGACATCGCCAACGAGGTGGACATTATGAAGTCCCTGCAACATCCCCGACTACTTCAGCTGTATGCTGCGTTTGAGAACAAGACCTCCTTCTGTCTCGTCCTTGAACTGTGAGTATTGGTTTTAAATGATAACGCTTGTAAATGATTTGACATTTATACTTTGGCATTTGATTGGCTAAGCATGCAATGTTTTTTTTGCGATTGTTTCCAAAATACAGTTCTAGATCACGCCCACCGACAATTGTTTTCCGATTGGCTAATAAATAAGACTGAGTGACCATTGTGCTGCATTAATATTGTGTTTTGTGTTCGTGATTAAATACGCATTTTCTGTATACTGATTGATAACTGTTCTAAGACATTGATCAATGCACGATTCTTCCAATTTAAGTTGACACACCATGATATAACTGAAATACTCTTCCAGTTCAATACTCACTCACTCACTCTGATGTTTCCTCTCTCGACAGCATCAACGGCGGTGAATTGTTTGAGCGCGTCATCAACGACGACTTCATCCTGACTGAGAAAGCTTGTGTCATGTTCCTCCGACAGATCTGCGAGGGAGTCGGTTTTATGCATTCAAAGAACATACTCCATCTTGACATGAAGGTAAGGGAGATAACTGCTGCTGGCCAGGCGACACAATAACGCCGAGGAAAAGATAGGAAAATTAGCAAAGTTGAAAAACGACCTGACACCGGTAATAATATTTTCCTCAACGAAAGATATGGAAAACGTATTTATCTTGAACCTCAGGATGTAACACAATATCTGTTTACGTTGAAGTAGTCTAACCTTACGTATAGCTCTCCTTGTGGGTATCTTCTTATTGCAAGTATTGGAACCTCTATATCACTACTAACGCAAAGGTATAGTATAGGGGGGCGGTGGGGTAGCCTAGTGGTTAAAGCGTTGGCTCGTCACGCCGAAGACCCGGGTTCGAATCCCCACATGGGTACAATGTGTGAAGCCCGTTTCTGGTGTACCCCGCGTGATGTTGCTGGAATATTGCTAAAAGCGACGTAAAACCAAACTCAGTCAGTCAGTCAGTATAGTATAGGAGGGGCGTAGCTGGAGAAATTAAAATATAAAGAAACAGTTTGCAATAAACACCCATAACACTTGTCAGACACAGACCAAACGCGAACAAGTCTGTACACGATGTATATCTAAAACAGTTCTCACAAAAATACCTACCTACCTGGACGTAACACACTGATGGTGTAGAGTAGTTTGATCAAATTTATGATCAAATACAGATGTTCTCAAAGACTGATAAACATCGAAGACAATTTTGACACGGGGATGTGGGTCAAGCTGACCAAAGGGCATGTAATTATAACCAACGACTTAAAGAAGAACCTGCTATGGTGTACTTTAATGTTTAGCTTTTTGTGACATTAATTTTGGGCAGGTTTCAAAGTTTAAGCATTGATATTTGTGCTCTGTAGTAACATCTCCATCTTGAAATACATGCTTCTTCCCACATGCGATTTAAGTTTATGTGATGAAGCTGTCACTTTAAAGCCAGGTTTGCCTCTATACGTACGTCCTTGAAATGCCATTATCACACATGGCAATCTATAGACCGCTGCGCGGGGTTTCCTGTGGGCCACGCGAGCATAATGTTAAACGTTTAGTATTTTCTCTGTCATAAATATCATCCCCACACGTTTATACCTCTTATCAAAGCTCGTCTGCCAAAAGGCATATACGTGTTGCTAGGCAATGACGTCATACGTGCACGGCGTTTCTAGGACTGTGCCTACGAGGTCATGACCTCCAAGGTTATTGTTTCTCTGTAATGATTGGCTGTTGATGGAGATGCGGTGGTGTTACACCTGTTTATGATGTTGATGTTGTGGAGGAGGATGTTGCCTGCCAACATGACGCCCACATTTGACGTACATTGCAGCTGCTTTGTATACATGTACTTATTTTTCAATCTGGGCGTTATGATATTAAATTTACTTGTAATACACTCGAACACTGATCTAATATATCTTATGTATATTTTACGGCTTTCTACCTCCAAAAGCTTTCATTCGAACGCATTGATCTCAAAGTGAGGCCACGCTAAATAGCTTGTAATCTATTCAGAATAAGTAATAAATTAGCAATAATGTTAACATGAGAGCTAGCATCTTTATTATTAAAGTTAAATGGTGTGAGCTCGTTCTAAATGCATATTTGCACCAAACACAGTTATTTTAATTTCCTAAGGAATAATATAATTTGGTACAAAATATAGAATCACCTTGAAAAATCCTTTGTTACATAAGTCATGTTATTTATGTTTAGGTTATTCAATAGGTATGCTTGGTGTCTTGTTAAAGGTTGAAAAAATCTTGAGTATAATGTTATGCCATTTGTTTGAAGTATAATTACTCTATACTTATTGTATATCAAATAGTTGTATCTAGTAGAAAATGCGACAGAAAATGCGACAAAACATTTCCAAAATCATAAGAAATCATAAGAAATATCCCGATCTGCCTATTTCCAAGTTTGGTCTTTGGGGGAACATCATGTAGGGTCCCTAGTTCCACATGTTGATATCCAAATGTCAGACGGTTAGCAATTCGCGTTGCTGCAGAACACATTACGGTCGCGCGTGAGTCTGAAAACCCCACCCCAGATGCAACGCTCGGACCCATGCAGAATTCTCATGGAATACCACGTCAGTGCCACGAAAACACAGTCTGATGTATTCCATGAAGGATTGACATTCTCCTCTCATCAGAACATCATTTCATAGTCATCGGACTCCGGCCATAAATGTGAATATGTGATCGGATGCTCTGTGTAAACATACCTGACATAACCTTCATGCTGCTGGAGACAATAATAGCGATTTGAATCTATGATCATTTGTTAAACAACTTTTATCCTAAGTTGAATAAAATTCTGAGATTTATATGTTCAATTGGCAAGGTAAAATTATGAAGATTCGCAATCTTAATTTCACTTTATTTTATTTAATATTTTGTTTAAAGTGAAATTCATCTGTACGTTTTCACTGCAAACAGACTATAAGTGTATATGTTTTATGACAGGAACGCTGTACCGTATCAAGGACGTCCCCCTTTGACATTTTCATATCGGGAAGACCCTTACGTAGAATTTGGCGTTATCGTTTGCACAGTGGCTTAAATGTATGTTGAGGTTGCTTTTTGTGATGTGTAAATAAACCCCCGTGTACCTTTGATATTATGGCTTGGGACTATTGACTCCGTTGCGTAACGGTATTCTTTTATGGTTCAGCCCTTTTGTGAGGCTGGTGAATTTCAAGATTAACATGCAGTAGTATTCCAACAGTATCATGGTGGGGACAGGCAGAAATGAACTTCTCACTTTGAATGTAATCAAACACCGCATTAGCAAACGCTTTAACCATTGGGCTAACTGCTTCATTCACCCCGAAGTGTATTCAACTTATGGTAGTTTGAATGTTGCATTTCGTTTCAGAAACCCTTTTAAATAATCAGTATAATTGGTCTTCTATACGATAGTTACATACACTCGTGAACTGTGTGTGATCTTAATTACACCCAGTGAGGTGACAACATGTTATCTTTCAATGTTAAAGACCTCGGTTGATGTTCATGCTATCAGCCACTCGTATTCATCCTGTTAGAAATCTGTTGCACTCAGCATGCACTCACACAATAGAGACCGCAAGATTTACGTCATTAATAAGGATTAGACAAGGTTATCACCACAAATACACCAGCCCTGATGATAGTTTTCTTTTTTTCAGCCTGAGAACATCCTTTGTCTGACTCGAGAGGGAAACAGAATCAAAATCATTGACTTTGGTCTGGCCCGGAAGTTCTGCCCCAAAGAGGATCTTCGTGTGTTGTTTGGAACCCCTGAGTTCGTCGCGCCGGAAGTTGTAAATTTCGACCCTATCAACTATGCAACAGATATGTGGAGCATCGGTGTCATATGTTATGTCTTGTAAGTATAACGTTGTTGACATCCTTGTAACTTTCTGACATCCAAATGAGATCATTTCTATCTTAACCAATGGAGCTGTCGCGAACCTTAGTTGGTTCCCTAACGCCACATCTTGAACCGAAAAAACTTCTCAAAGATCGAGCTTCGTGATCCCCGATTTAAGACACAATTTAGTTTTAAGTCTAATTTTTTAGAATTAAGACAAATATGGACTTAAGACACTTTCATGATCTCGGGACCTGGACTTCTATCGTTGTCACCTTGCATTTGACCTCCACTGTACGGATCGGTGCTGGACCTGAGTGATGTCAACCATTGGGTTTCCTGTACGACTGAATGTGACAGTGTGCGACCTTGGTGACCGTTGCTCAAAGAACCTCGGCACCATGGTTTTGTATATCCCAATCTCGAGTTGTTAATGGACTTTGCAACTAACAAGAATATAATCTGGGGTGCAAACAATAAATATTCACTCTCATATGTAACTTGGCAAATTATGTAGGCTTTATGTTTTCAAATGTTTAACTGTTTCTTGGTGAAATACAAATTGAATGTTTTAACATGTATATATTTACTCGTTTTTAGGTTATCGGGATTATCTCCCTTTATGGGTGACACCGAGGCCGAGACGCTTGTCAACGTGACCACCGCTCAATGGGACTTCAATGCCGAAGAGTTCGACAGTATATCCAAAGAGGCTAAAGACTTCATATCGAAACTCCTTATAAAAGATCGAAGGTAAAAAACAATGACATGCTTTAAGATAATATCCACAAATGCTTACAGTTTGTTTAATTGCCAATGAATGTTCTTGTTAAGGCCAAGATGATATTCATAGGCAAAATACATTGTGTGTGAAATCGTATCCTACGGGACGCTCATGCTCTTAACAACGAGTTTCTCTGATGAAGTGGTCAGTTGTTGACAACGACGTAAAGATAATTCCCATTTTTGAGTCAGGCGTGTGAGAAATCAGTCACGTTAAAAATTCTAAATACATATAAATTCAAATAGAATTTGTCCACTGTCCATGCACCAAATAAAATCTGTTAAAACTGATTGATTGAGGAAGTTAAAGCAGGTTACCGAGGCTACAATTATATGCCTAATGGATACCTCATCGGTCTTTTCATTAAATGATAAGTGTACAGGGATAGAAATCTTGCCCGAAAACCATATCCGTTTGTCTAATGTTAAAAGTATTTGTACCCGTGAAGGTCCGGGTAAGAATTGGTCTTCAACAACCCATGCTTGTCGTAAAAGGCGACTAACGGGATCGGTGGTCAGGCTCGCTGGCTTGGTTGAAAACATGTCATCGGTTCCCAATTGTGCAGATCGATGCTCATGCTGTTGATCACTGGATTGTCTGGTCCAGACTCGATTATTTACAGACCGCCGCCATATAGCTGGAGCGGCGTAAAACTAAACTGACTGACTGACTCACTAGAAGTATCTGGAGTTCATTTTTGCCTCAACCATGTCGTTAACTCACTCACCCACCCACCATTGAAATAATGTATATATATAAGACTTGCTAAATACGTATCATGTCAATATTCAGTATGTTTCTTTTGGCTTCAGAAAACGAATGTCGGCAGCAGAATGTCTTGAGCACCAGTGGCTAAGAGTAAGTATTGTGATAATCTGAATAGATTATATGAGTATTTTTTAAATACATTGAACTTTTTGGCATGTTAGAGAGTAGAATAGAGGTTTAGTACACCCTGGTTAATCGAGGATGTCCTCCATTGTGATTAAAATATTTTCATTTAAACTCAATTTTTGTGACTCGATGACTTTCTCTTATCATGTTATAAACATGTTGCATTATTTTCTCTTCCACAGAGGTCGGTAAAGCGTGAAAGTCATATTCCCGAGAGATCTCTTTCGAAGAAACGTTTGCGCAAGTTCGTGTACAGGCGGAAGTGGCAGAAGGCAATAAACGCCATGTTGGCTCTCAGGAGGATGGGCGTAACACTGACGTAGTCACGTGTTTCACGAGGTAAATCATTATTTTCACTAATCGGTACATATTCGATTACCAAAATAATTTCGCTGCAATTATAGATAACTTTATTATAGATAAATGATATACTTGAACGGTTGTATTTGGTCACTGATCGAAACCCACTGGCTTAAAGATCTAGAGTAATTCGTGACCTAAATTTTCACAGCGGAATTCCTTTTCTGCGCATGACACCGATGGTACAGTTAACATTTCGGACATTGAAAGGCTAAAAATAGCTCGGTAATATGAGCATCGTTTGAGGAATAAGCCATGCTATGAATGATTACAATATGACTACCTTTACGAGGGAATTCTCGTAATCGTTATCACTTAAATAACGCATCATTCAGGTATCATATACTTGTTAATGGTGATGCATTATAATTGTATTGTCGTAAATCACTTAATTGCAAATGAAGTATTTAAGACTGGAGTTTGTTCAACTTGTAAAGCACGTGACTCGTTCTTTTTCAGATAGACCTATGAAAACCTGCCACGCATACGCTCAATGATGAGATCTGATTGGATGAGAGATCCTTCCGGTTTTCTCTCTGATGGTGATAAACAGTTAAACCCCCACCGGTCTCGGGTGTTTCCAACACGATATCATCGCAGGGAGTGTAGCGTCAGTATTTGACTCTTGGCCTTTAGAGCATCGGTGCTGTTAAAACGCAGAGCACATTGCCAGTTGCAGGAACTCTATCAACAGACACCTTCATCGCGTGTCTCTTGCGTGCCAACGAACATGGATAATATCACATCAATGCCTCGTTACTATGGCAACTTGTAGCATGCAATACCGCCTGAGTATATTGTGGACCAATTCGGTCATCTGTGAAAGCAGTTTCCGATAGCAGTTGTGATTATTATAAACTTGTGTGCGGTATTCTTAAAACAGTTTGAACCGTAGATCCCTTCACGCACACACGGTGACGTCACAGATCACGTGAATACGTATCGACAGATAGGCTTTGAGGAGAATGTGTAAAAAGGTTGGCGTGCAACATTTTCGCGCCAGAAGGACCAGAGATAATTGTCATTGTACATTTCATTGAGCGCCTGTTAATTTGGAGCTCATTGCAATATCTCCCCTATGTGTGTTGATCCAATAAGTGTTTGGTGTCTACTCGTACCATCGATTTCGCAATTGGTGAGTTGACACCACATGATTTGACGTTTCGATTGGTTGTACATATTTCCATACCCTCTCCCTAGAACCCATTTCACTGCATCGTATGTATTTAGCTTTTTCAGATGTTGTAATTTATTGAATCTATTTCATCAGTCATGTAGTCATAGCGCTACTGTGGTGACGTATCTTGAAATCGACATGACGCACCTGTTATCTGGAGATGTCTATTTCATATCCAAAAAACAAAACTATCATTCCATTAGGCCAATAGTACATATTTTATACACATATACCTTATAAGATTTATGGGAGGGAATTATACAATGATCATAACATTTTCATGAGAAATATAAGCGATTGTCATAAGAAATATAAGCGAGTTGTGGGTTTTGGTGACAAATTTTAAATGGAAAAAATTATGCGGTCATTTTCGGTCACTGGTGTGTAGTCTATACGGGTTCATATTTCAGCCATGTTTCCAGATGCGCATGCGCAGTAGCGTTGCCTTCCGTCCACGCGGCTACAGTGCGACTTTCCTCTTCTTGTAAAAAACTATGGTGCTAGCTTGTAGACTTATTACAGACGAGTCCATTGTGATTGTGGAGGTAGGGTGTATATTTACAATAGAGGGGGCTGTGAGGATGGCTTCTTTCATCAAGAATTAGCACCCTTCTTTCATACAATAGAATTTCCGGAATCTCAAATGGTCGCGTTTGAAAAGTAATGCCTTAGTTTCCAGGCTTTCTCTTTTTGAGTCATGACTGGAAATGCTTACGTCTTTTTGTACAAATTTTGAAATATCAATAAATGTTCAAAAACAGATTTGTTTGCTTATATATTCGTCATATGAATATTTGTTATCCCGAGGGGCCGCAATGCGCCGTTGACAGTTGCGTCTATGAGGACTACCAGATAACTACTATCGTTGGTTCGATCCCTATGAAGGGGCGGTGGGGTAGCCTAGTGGTTAAAGCGTTGGCTCGTCACGCCGAAGACCCGGGTTCGATTCCCCACATGGGCACAATGTGTGAAGCCCATTTCTGGTGTCCCCCGCCTTGATATTGCTGGAATATTGCTAAAAGCGGCGTAAAAATAAACTCAGTCAGTCAGTCGATCCCTATGAAACGGAATCAATTAATGCCACACTCAAAATAGAACTGCGCAACATGTAGTTGAACCAAACTATGTTGAAGCGGTGTCGTGCCGGGAAGGCTTAAATTTATTTTTCAGATGTCCCGGGAAGGCTAAAATGTATATTTCGGATTTCCCCGGGAGAGCTAATTTCGTTCGAATAATAATGACATGTCCATTTATATAGCGCCAGACTCCACACCAGGTATGCTCAGCGCTAACAATGAACAGCACAGCACATTATTACCCCGGATAACCCAAGCTGCCTGATAGGCGCTAGAAGGTTATAGTCACATGACTTATCCCACCGGGTACCCATTTTCTGCTGGGTGAACAGAGGCAATTTTGAACAAACTCACTTGCCTAAAGTGAGACCACATGTATCACATGTGCTTCGTTGTGGGGCACTACTGAAGTCCCAGAAACTCTCAGGAGTCAAGCTGACAAACACGGTCACCCACCCAACGTCTATCACCTCTCCGCGCCCAGCGTTGCTTACTTCACCTGATTTTTGACCCGAGCTCTATGCACTGGATCACAAGCATATCCCTTATATATGGACAAGGGATACGAATATGGCGTAAACCAATATTCACTCACTGCACGTTGAGGGTATTCGTCTGGCATTTCAGTGGGCACATATTCTGTGTTTTGATCTTGTTGTTAAATTCCACTCTTCATAATAATCCAGCTATATTAAGGCGGCTTTTGAATAATCGAGTGTGGATCAGACAATCTAGTGATTGATATTATGAGCAATCGTCCACGTCGTATTGGTGCATTGACACACCATTAACGACGTCACCGACTCTGACCACCAACAGACCACCTGCTAGCGCCCACACGTTGGCTAAACATAATGAGAATCACAAAGCATTCTACCATGACTTAAGTAAATACTGGATTGTGACTGGTTAACTAAAGTCATTCAGAGGTATATAACCACGTTATATACCTCTGATTTTCCAACTCACTATGTATCCTTTTAATATCTTAAAAACGCGGTTATGCTACGCGTTCGGGTTTGAATCAAATTTAGAGCTATTATAATTTCGTTATATACCTCTGATGTTCCAAACACAATATTTTTTCTTCTATACTCATGCAAATAATGGTTGTCAACCCCTTCAATTTTTTTAATTGCAGAGGGGGTGTGGGGTGGGGGTGTGAGGTGTGTGTGAGGGGTTGGGGTGGGCAGGGGGGTGACAACCATGATTGGCATGAGTATATAATATATTGCAAGAAACAAGACAAGATCGTACAGGTAACAAAATGAGACGTCAGCATAATCATTTCAATGCATTGAATTTTAAAACTGTAATGAACGATGGGAGGAAAAAGACAGAAGAATAAGATGTGGATCATGATGTGAATTAAACTCTCCAGCATGTGCATACAGAACATGAAATATTCAGTCAATGAAGAAGAAAAACACAAGAGAATGTTCACATACTTCAAAGTCATAGAACAAAATCATTTTCCAGTGCCAAAGTTTCCAGTTTACAGTTTCCATTTTCCGAAGCTTACACACAACCAAATGCTTTCCCATATACTCCTACAATTACGTCACATAACCCAACTCCAACAACTGAGCACTCAGCAGCCACTGCATGAACATAGCAGCACAATATGGACTTACATCATTAATAACATTGAAACACTGACCACCTCAGCCAGTTACTTTAACCACGAATATAGTACAGGAAACGGAACCGGCCACCCTTAGTTCCGCACCAAATGCCACCAGCTTGAATTATCCTGTGGCCATATTCAGGATACGTCATAATGCTAAAACAAGACAGCATTAAGTATTGAAAAATGATCAGTTTTAATCACTGTAAAAGACAAATATATCTGAACGTAATACCACTGTACCTGATGTGTGAGTCTGTGCTTTACTGCTTGTTGAACAACTGTTCATGATTAAATTGTTTGAACAAATTATATACAGCATTGAAAGGTGAGGTGAAATTGGGTTTTACGTCGTGCTTGAGAATATTTCGCTCATATGACGACGTGCATGCGTGTGTATGTGTGGCTGCTTGTACTAGCCCAGACTGAAGCTGGTTTTATAGTGCTAGCCCACTGAGATACCATGCCGCAGTGAAGCATGAATACCCCACACAGACACATTATACTGACTCCGAGCCTACCGGTCCTTGTTGTACCCATTAATGCTGAGCGCCAGGCAGGGACCAACAAATACCATATTTTAACGTCTTTTGGTATGACGCGTTCGGGGGATCGAACCCGCGACCTTCCGCTCTCCGGGCGGACGCTCTAACCACTACACCACGGAGGCGGTTGCATTGAAAGGGGTTGGGTGCAAGTTATTCAACTTATAAAAGCCCGCTTCTGACAATTACACATGTACATAGAAAAAGATAATGGGAAATGAACAGAAGCAAGACATAGCACATATTAATTGAAACGCTTACTACGTACAATGAATTTATGGACTTGACTAAACATATTTTCGTTTATAATTTGTGTCGACTACTAAGGCTGTCGTACAGAATGGTGTTAATATCTAAGCTAACTTTTAGGATTTCAAGCATTTTATGAAATCAAACCGGCAGCTGACATACTTTGGACATTTAATAAAGACAAATGATTAAATGTAGAAGGGCCTGAATGTTGATTGTGTTTTTATATTCCCTGGTTATCGTCATAGCATCACTGACGTGTGTCGGATCTGCTAGCCAGGCTACTCGTGTACTCACTAGTGGTGGTCCGATTAATTGAAATAATCGAAGATTGGTCGCAATGACAAAACGACCAAGCAATCGATCATGTTTTCTCATAATCGTACACAAACAATTTTGGACCACTTGTTCGCAACAACAATATTTTTCAAAAGGTTGATTTTGTCTCAACATTGCATAAGCACTACAAGCTCGTTCCAAGTCATGATTAAGTTTATCTTAACAACTCCAGGAAATGCATGTTCCTAACACACTAGTCATCCTTTAAAGATGTGAAATTTGCAATTGCATTTTGTGCAATTTGCGAAAAAAGACGAGATAACTACATGTTTTTTCTTTATTAATTGTGCATTATCAAACATAACCAGGAAAATTTGATAAATGACGCTAACCAATTATTGTCGATGATTGATCAGTTGTGATGAACCAATCATCAATTATGAGATTTAAACCAATTCCCAACACTAGTACTCACAGCCGAATATTCCTTGTGATCTCGGAGTAGACATTATTTTATGCATGTGTTTTTCCTTGCGTTTGGATGTTGAACCGATTTGAAAGTCTGGGCGTTTTGTAAATTTCTATAAATAATATGGTCAATGTTATTATAGCAAAACTACAGTGCGTGTGTGATAATGTTCCTCACACATCTAAGGGCTCAGGGGGCGGTGGGCTAGCCTAATGGTTAAATCGTTTGCTCGTCACGCCGAAGACCCGGGTTCGAATCCCCACATGGGCACAATGTGTGAAGCCCATTTCTGGTATCCCCCGCCGTGATGTTGCTGGAATATTGCTAAAAGCGGCGTAAAACCAAACTCAGTCAGTCAGTCTAAGGGCTCAGCCAAAGGAAACTCCGTTGTGTTGACAGTCCAAGGGAAATAACTCTTTGTGTAATCGTTCTTGTGCTATGTTGCACTACCCAGAGGCGTTCAAATCAATCTTTGTGGAAAGGTTCCTATTTACAATTTCATCGAAACAGTGTCGGTGGGGTAGCTTAGTGGTTAAAGTGATCGCTCGTCACGCCGTAGACCAGGCTTCGATTCACAACATAGGAGGTATGTGTGACGGGTAATTCTCCAGTCAACAGTGGTGATATTGAAGGAATATTGCTAACTTCAATCACTCAGTGATCGGAACAGACTGCCCTCAAGCAATTTGTTGTCAACGACATTGTAGCACGATTTACAATGACTTCATCTTACTGCTTTTTCATACGTCTGTAGAAGATCACGCTGTGTTGTAGTTTGGCTGGCAATGATTATATTGATGTTTACTCGACCAGAGATTAATCGTACTTGGGATTCTGTCAGAGTCCATATTACACAGTTTTCGCCAAAGTTGTATCGTTTCAAGTTTATGCTTCATGGAGGGAGCTGTCCAACCCATTTCACCTCGGACTGATAGATTAGGAGTTTTACGTCCAACAGCAAGGAAGAAGCGGCAGGCCTTGTTCTGTACAGCGTTAATTGATGAATATTCTCTTGTCCCCCAAATAGCAGAACCGTAAGACAGTATAGGCTGAACAAGATTATTATACAATGTATTAAAAACTTCATATGCCATACCACCAGCTGATTTAAATTTACATATTATTACTCCGAGTGCTCTATTTGCTGATTTTGCAATTTCTTTAGCTGTAAAGTTGAGGTCAAGATGTTCTTGAAACGAAATGCCCAGATACTTATAAGCACCACTGAAGCCGATATCATCTTCTCCAATGGAAAATTGATATGAAGATCGGGGTATGGATGGCGAACGGTAATGGACTACTCTCGTTTTCTTTATGTTGACTTGTAGTCGCCACCTTGAACACCAGTTCGCTGCACAGTCTAACATGCGTTGAAGGGATTCCTCGCTTGGAGCTAAGAGAGCAATATCATCTGCATATAGTAGGATACTCAGCATCTTATTATCAATTTTAACACCACAGTCTAAGTTATTGATTTCCGTTGCAATGTCGTTGACATAAATTGAGAATAAAGAC